ATAATAGTATAAACGAATAAAAATGCTCAAAATGTATTGCATACTCATTTAAAAATTCAATCATTTAATGGGTTTAATTCATCACATGAAGTCTTGAAGCTATTTTTGTTTTACGTCAAATATGTTTGTAATAGAAAAAAAAATGTTTTCTGGATAGTCAAATTTATTTTTTATGGGTGTTTGACATTGGATAATTCCAGCGTAAGTTAACGAATTCTCATCGAACGATTTTCTTAGTTTGATGTAATTCAAAAACGAATAACCTTAGTTAATTTAAAGTTTAAACGAAGAATAACGATTTTAGTTATTTTGTTATAATTTAAAAATATTACTCCCTGTGGGTACTTGAAACTTATGAAGTAAGTTATTTTCTTGTATACACATAATGACATTTTAAAATGTGATTTTTTTGACAAAATTTAATTCAAATGAATCCATTACTAATGAATAATAGTAAAATAAATCAATTTAATGGCAATAATGTCATAAAATATTTACTTAGTAATATTTGGTGACAGACCGCTTTCGCTCAGAATCGTTTTTCACATACTATGGTTTTATGTTATTGAATTCAAATATAACACATCCATTAAAGTGACCCCCTTTTAGACACCTAATGTACAGCATAGCTGTGTCCACTTGCCCACATTTTTATATATAGAGTCGTGGGAGACATTCCCCATATACAATTTTTCTATTGTAGAATTTTCCTCGTACCCAAAAATTCATTTTTTTTTCAGTTAAGGAATTGTTTTCAATACTTAAAGTCTTAACCAAAAGTACTAAAAATAATTGTTATTTAAATTATTATTTTCTTTCTATATGAATTAATATCAATTTATTATATTCATGTATTTCCGAAAATGTTATTTGGAATGTTCATTGATTTATCTGTGAGTGCTTTAATTAAATTATTCATTATCAATGAGTAATTGACTTTTTAATTTTGGCAGAAACAACCTACACACGAAATGATACATATCTCACTGATCTATTATAATAATAGTTAATTTATTTCCTCTCATATTCTTTTACAGTTTCAAGTGCGTCCGCCGACACCAAGGTTTATACTTTCCATTTACGAATGGTATTGTTTTGCATTTTATATTATACCGAAAGGATATCACAAAAAAAAAAAATCCCACTTATTTAATTAAATTCGTATTTTACAAATGTCTAAGTGAATTTCAACAACAATAAATTATATATATGTACGTATTCAATATACTTCAATAGTTCAACGTGTCACGAAACCTAAAATTCCTGATTCTTTAAAAATGTATGTTGTCGTGTGATCCGGATAGACAATATTATTCAATAATTATCCGTCTTATATATATATATTACAGGCTGCCCCCATGGCATACCCGGGAAAAGATTTGTTTTTTTTTTCAATGTATAATGTATATGCAAATATGCAATGTTCATATGGCGGATTGAATGTGTTCTTTGCCGATTCATATAATATGGAGGTTTTGTACGTAAAAAGTATAAAATTTAAAATCGAGTTTAAGTGTCTAGCAAGACAGCTACTTTATGCAGCTCTTTATACACTACCCAATCATTAATCACCGAGTTAACTATTCTTATTCGAATACATCGATAATTTTCTCGAATAAAACGTATGATACCGAATGAAATGAGCAATTTCCAAACACAACTAGAGCATTAGAAGACAGTTGCGTCATTTCAGTTTTTTTTGGGTAGGGCAACTTTTCACCGATTTTCCGACTCAACATTTTTTTCACTCAGGTTCTCATAGCATAGTGCCATAATGGTTAAAGGAGAGGAGGTGGTGTTGGTATTCTTTTGTATTCCTATACAACCCCTTATTTTTCCGTTTAGTAGTTGAATTTCCAAAAATCCTTTCTTAGCGGACGCCTGTGTAGTATCAGTATGACGTGTATTGTGTATACGTTATATGTATGCCGAATTTCAGCCCGATCAGTCCAGTGGTTTGGACTGTTGATAGATCACTCAGTCAGCCACCTTATCCGTTTGTTTTTAAATAGAATTTATATTACAATTGTGCTATGAGCTGTTAGACGGACACGTATTTAAACCATATAACAATATCAACCGTATTCATCTTTTACTGGATTTAGTTAATTTGAGGGCTTGTGCCTTGTAAGTTGTAAGTACGTCTACATATTAAAATCGATAAAATTTTCAATGATTTAAGTTTTTATTGAATTAGTAATTTGTAGTTTTTTTATTGATAATATTGACTATTGATTAAACACACCAATTTATATTTAAGGCCCCTGCAAATGTGTCATTTTTAAGGAGTTGTGTTTAGGCAATTACTTCGTTCCTGCGATTATTGATCGTCTTTGTGTGTGTAGTAAATTAGTTTGTGTATACTACCATCATCCTCTACCCTCATCAATTTACAATACATTGATATTTCTTATCTGGTTTATGACGCAAGCACATGTACAAGTCATTTAATGTCTAGAATCTAGATCAAAATATTCAAAACTAATTTATGGACGTGAAACAGCCGTCGCACTGACAAAAATGAAGGTACTTCCAGTTGTTCGATTTAAAAAATGTAAAGATGTTTGTGTTGGTAAACAAGTTTACTTTCATCGGTGGGAGCACTTTTTCAATTTTAGCAAATTATTGACTAGAATAAATATTTTAATTTTTTTAAATTAAAAATGTTTAGCATTGAATATATTCAAAAATATCTAAAATATAAAAAATGATCTCCGACCGATGCAAAGTAGACTTGTTGACCAATTAATTTACATTTTTTAAATTGAACCACTAGAAGTACTTTCATTTTTGTCAGTCGCTAAGGTCGTTTTGATGAAAAATTAATGGGGTTTGCAGGGGCCTTAAGTAAATGTACCGACGTATACTCACTACTCAGCGCCCGCCTAAAGATTAAAATATTCTATAAAACAACTTTATAGGCTGTTTACGCCATCAAGATGCAGTCCACTGCTCATACTTATATTAATTTATTACCACAAGTATTTTGTTGTATCTCAGGGTACCTACAGACTGTATATTTATTATTGAAATAAAGTTAATTATTGTTATACGATTTGTTTTTAAAATTAATATAACTTTAGAATATATCAACACGTTTTTAAATTTATTGGTGTATACAAACTTTATAATTGTAACCTCTCCACGGCCTGGATGAGACATTGGCTAATATGATATAATATTATGAATATAAATTGCCTGAATGTTTCATACAGTTTTTAATTGATATAATTTGTTCTTGTTTTCGTGTTTTTTAGATGTGCGATTAAAATATAGATTTTTTTTAATAAGCAAACATGTAACATATTTTTTTTAATGCAAGTGCATTAACATTTTATGCGTTAATTACGTATTTTAGCAAGGCAAAGATAATGTTAGGTTTATAACATTATTATGCTTTATTCGTTAATAATTATTTTGAAAAATAAAGGTCATGTATACATTTGATCGCTAATGTATCAGGTATTTAGTGTTCTTTTATCTCTTATATAATATAAGGTAATACACATGTATGGGTATTTTTTTTCAGTCCTAGTTAGATAATTTAAAAGTGGTTATTTTGTAAAAATATTCGTAGCATAATAATTCCTCTTCGTGTAGTTTTATTGTTGGGTATAAATACATTTATCATACCGACTTATCAGCTTATTGTCAGTTACAATATAAATGATGCTGATAATATATTTTTCGCTTTTAAAGTAAATTATGTGAAATGAATTTTATAGGACCAAGTATCCTATGATATAATAGGGTTTAGGATATATTGATGTATTTAAGTAATTTAAGCTAAACTACAAAATTAAAAAATGATTTACAAGTATGTGAAAACAACAAAATCACTAAATTAGTCATATTTTTTTGTAAAAGAAAATCAGAGTAGTGAATAATAGTCGGAATAATAGTACTACTACTACTACTACTACTACTACTACTAATAATAATAATAATAATAATAATAATAATATTAGCAATGAACTATAATATTGTAATATTGTACATTTTGTTTTAGAGATTATATTAGTTAATGTGCTCGATATTATAATTTGGTGTTCAACGCCTCGGCGTACAATAGTGAGGATAGAGAGATATTATACATGTCTTGCAGGTATAATAATGTAACAGGTACAATATTATGATCTACGACGGTTCATTGTCGTTTATAAATTACGACGGTTTCTAGTGCTGCAATTTACGATGTATTGACATAATATTATTGGTGCGGATGACCCTCGCACTATTGGCTTGCGCACCTATGCGATAAATCGCCATTTATTTTCACCAAATAAAAGCAAAACAACGGCGGTATGTATATATATACGTCACATGGAAAAAAATTCCTTTTCCTATTATTCGAAGGGCAAGGACGAACAGCGATGCGTGATTTCATAATTTATTATGGGGTTTCGTCGTTCCGGAGCAATTTACAGCGCTCGGAGGGATATGCTATATATACAGCAGTGGCGACTATTATAAATAACGAAACAAAAATATACGTTTCCAACGATCATCAACATTTCTGTCTGTGGCGATTTTTTCGCTTTGTGTTCTGGTTGGAGTACAATTTATAATATGACGACGACTGTTTGTTGATTTGTCGACAGTGAGATTGTCGTCACGCTACCATAATGTATCGCCCTTCAACCGCGTCGGCGGTAATGTGACGTTTCAATGAAAAATAAGATGCGATGCGGTTTTGTGTAACTTTTATAGTTTATATAATATAGTAAGCATGATCCTGTATAGCATTACAACAGTGGTATTTATCCAAAAAATGAATAAATCTTTGAAATTGAAACAGAATAAAAGTAGGTACTTATGTGAAAATTAATTTAACTCCCTTGTAGTGGTGTTACAATAATCCCATAAAATGTTTATGTAACGTATTTATATTTATTTAAGTTTATGATTATTGATTGCTGACCATGAAACTTCATTTACGGGGTATTTACTTATATTAGGATTAGAAATTAAACTACACAATTCAATGTATATAAACTTACCTATTGAGGGTGATTGCGACCAACGTAAAGACTGATGATGCGACTGTCCAGTAGGCAATGAAATTAGATGCCATGCAAAGTTCCAGACCAAAAGCCCAATCAGAGTTGAGCATATAAATAAAGTTTGGTAGACAATTGAGTGAAGCCATAAACAAATCGGAGATACTCAGACTGACCATGTAACAGTTAGTTACAGTTCGCATTCGTCTGTGAGCTGAAAAAATAAATCATACTTTTTGTTCATAAAAATAACATTAATATGTAAACATAAATATATAATGATCTAAGTTTAAAAAAAAAAACATTGTAAGAAATTGGTCTATATTATGTTAACATAGCTCAATGATTTCTAGGTTAATGCAATAATAATAATTAGAAATAATATTAAAGCATATTAATCATACGCATTGATAATTATTTTAATTAAGTTCAATCAGTGGTAAACTTAGAATTTCGCAACAGGGGGCTGGGGTTTGAAAATTAATTATAATTTTGTTTTTATTTTGTCTAGTTTAATAATTTAACTTCAACTTTTCAACTTTTCTAGTAGAATAAATGCTGTGGTCATCGATGGAGGTTTTTGGAAGAAAATTGGATTTAGTTGGTAATTTTGGGAGGTCAAATGGAAAATGTGAGAATTTTTTTAAATAATCAGGAAAAACAAAAATAAATAAGAGACAATTTGTTAAAGTTTTATTATTATTATTAAACAAATTGTTTGTTAACTTTAGTTGGATTGGGTTATCTTTAATTAATTTTTTTTTTCCAAAATTACAGATGAAAAATTATTTGTTCCGTTAAAAAGCTTAAAAATGTAATATAAAGTTCCTCATTCGTTTTTATTATAGCTATTTAATAATATTAACGATAGGTATACAAGCACGATTATTTTTTATAATCATTTAAAGTTCAAATGTTGACATTACCACAATTAATTTGTAGTTTAAAATGTATAAAATGTTCAATTTGTATAGCTGAGGCTTGAATACTTAATACAGGGTACCTCATACAAGTAGTTCATTGTTCATACTTGAATCAAAAAATTACTGATAATTTTATGAAAATTGTTATGCAAGTACAATGTTTTTGCCAAAATGAATTCAACCTACCTATATTATTAGTTATTACTTATGACTAAAAGCAATTTTATTATAATTTAAAATATCATAGGTTGACAGTTGACACACCAGTTCTGATCAGAATCGATTTTTATAAACAATTCATTTTTGAATTCAAATTTATCACAATATTATACTGTCGCCCACTCGACACCTACTGTACAGCAGAGCTGTATCCATTGTCCAACTTTTTTTTATTCACGTTGACTATTGCTAATCCGATAAGGCGTATATGAATTTACGTCCTTGCTTACTAGTTGACGACAGTTGAAACTTGATAAATATTTTTTAAAAAAGTAATAATAATACGGGCGATTTGGGGAGGTGGGGACTTCAGTTGGCCCCAACTACGCTACTGAGTTAATTTAATTTATTTGAGTATAACAATGTAAGAAAATTCATAAATTAAATTTTGAGACAACATTACTGTAAAATATCAAGTTATGTGCACGCACGAAAGAACTGCTGGTTTAAAAATAAAATAAAATTTAACATACTACCTATACCTACATAATAATATAATACTACAATTTACTAAGAACTATATTATTGACCTATTATTTCATTTTAATTTATTCGTGTTTGGATCAGTATAGATTATAGAACATTATTTTGGTTTCTAGCACGTATACTTATAAAATATACATCCGTAGTTCCCTAGAAATGTCTTTAAGTTACCATACGGGTCAAATCTTCACCGGTGGCAATGAATTATTGTCCTAAACCGGGTTTACAGCATCCCACGTCCCACAGATTCATGCTTATCAATGTATACTTTTTTCAACATGTCACCATAAACAATGGTGCCATAATAATTACCACCGTGGTCGGTGTTCTTCGAATTATCTTTAGTGAGTTATGGCTTTATGATGCTGTCATAGAAATTGACAAGCCCACGATAATAATATGTTAATATTATATTATATTAAATTCCACGGTAACAAGTATGAAGATCACGCATTATATTTAGCTGTATGGACAAGGGTGTAGTTTAGAAATATAAAATAATATTACTTATAGGTACCTATGGGATACCTATGGGATACCTATAGGATCATGATTTATTAATATTCTGTACACGAGAGTGACAAAGTCTCATGATAATCAGTTAGGTACTATAGTGTGGTTAATTACAATTTATTAGCGAGTTGACATAATAAAAATCTACGGTAGACGGTAGTGTACATATTACATTATTATACTACGGTAAGAGTAATAATATATTGAATAGTTGTAATAGGTATGTATGTTGGAGGAGAAACATTTCATTTGGATAATTTCCAACAGAATTTCGACTTTAGAATTTGGTATTGGGTTATATATGTAACGACCGGATAATATATTCTCGCAAATATCAACAAACCGGATACTTAGTACTTAGTATCATACGTTACAGCTGTACGTTTAAATGTTTAATGTTCATTGTAAGAAATTATGTACATAAAATAGTACACACAATAATTCATTTGAGATATTTTATGTTCATTGTATAATTGTTTGTTGTGGAATAATGGATTTTACACAAGCACCACATTGAAGTATTTACTTTCCATTTTTATCAGTTGTTATTACCATATTAAATTACATGGAAAAGTATTTAATGTAATATGCGACATGTTAACCAAAAAATACTATTATACTGTAGGTATTTGATAATACAATGTATAGATAATATTATGATGTATAATGTATATTAAAGTGAAACAACGAATGACTTAAAACAACATTTTGTGTAAAATAATTAAAATCTGAAACGAAATTATAAAGCAAAAAATTTAAAAAAACGTTTAAATCTATAATAATGTAATAGCCAATAGGTAACTTAGATTACAATTAATTAATCTGGGTGAAATTACCAAATAGATCCTTATTACGTATGATGGATAAGCTCCATATTATAATATATTTATTAATTAATAAGAAATAAATTTTAGTGAAGACATGCTCAAATGTTTAAATTGTTATATTCATTGTTGAATCTAAACTATGGATGAAAAATACTACTTACTATAAATTAAATGGCAGTTAAAAAATATAAACGGTAGCTGTGTAGTATAGATACAATCTTGGTAGGGCACATAACACTGATTTTGAAATTATCGTTGAATATGATTAATTGAGCACTAAACAATGGTGTTATATAATCATTATAATGGAAATAGTATTCGTATTTTTCCGCTAACTCTAAGTATACCTTATAGATACTAAAGTAAATAATCATATTTCAAAGATCAATTTGAATATTAATATATTATATCTTATATATTTTTATAATAAAAAAAGTCTATTACAATAAATCATCATAATAATTAATGTATAATTATTATTTATTTATTTTAAATTTATTGATATTTAATATTATGTTCTATACTCAAGATTTAATTTGTGTAGTGCCAGTAAATATACGTATACCTAAAAAATACTTCATGCCAGCAGTATCGTACAATTCGATTAACAGGTAGGTTGATAATTTTCAAGTTTATGTGTGTAGGTCAATAAAATGAAAATGAAGGAACAACGCAACTCATTTAATAGAATACCGTGTATATAATATTATTATATTGATTAACACTGTAACACAGTTAATAAACATGGTGTAATTTATAGAATTGATTAATGTCCTTTAGATATTATAGTCTCTACTCTAAATAAAAATAAATATACATTATATGATCAATGACTTTAGTTATGTAAAATCGAAGTTATTTATAAGTGTAATATTTGACAATATCTTATACAGCTGGTAGGTACTACTGGACAGTGGTTTAAATAAAAAATATGGTGGTAATGAAGCCCTTTATTTTTCAGTTATAATCCACAGATTGCATAAATGATGAGGATGCTAATTCAAAAACTGGGTACCTATGCTTAATACTTATCACCCCTAAAAGACCCCCCTCAGCCTAAAAAAAAAATGATTGTGAATAAACGATCTATAATTTTTTATATATTTATCATCTAAATATGTAGCTAAAATAGATAACTTATGTAAAGTTTTCTAACAGCGTTCTATCAAGATTATTATTATTAAAATTATAGAACTGGATGATTAATAATAACTGTTTAAGGAATTGTATCAAATGTATATATTTTTTTTATTTAAAAAATTAAATGCCTAAAATGCATTGTACATAATATGCTATGTACATATTGTTATAGCTTAAGCTATAAAAATCATTTTTTAGTTGCTTTTATTTATAATATTATACTAGTTAAAAAAATAAATCTTAACTTTCTAACGTTTAGTCAATTAACGAGTATGTATCAATAATGTATACATTATTATTTTAAACAGGAAACCTACATAAATATTACTTATTTGTGTGCTTTATATTAGGAGGTGATATGAACAAACTAATACATAACTTACTGTGCAGTACAACTAAGGAAATAGAAATTACTCTTTATAAAATATTTCTGAAAATTTAATTTCTTGAGAGTGTTTTATTGGAGAGGTTCCATAATTGATAGTATAAAATATGTTTTTTTTGTACATGAATAATAATTGTAGTTGAACTGGTTCTTGATAATACTGCAATTTAGTATTTGGTTGGATAATTAGATTACTTATTATTTGGCTTAAACATAAAATAAAACAGTAAACTCAATTACAAAGAAGCAATTATTATCACTTAATGTAAATAAATCAGTATGCATGCCGATAGTCACAAACCGATCACAGCTTCCAGTTGGAGTGAACTTCATATTACATCAATGTTCCTCAAATAAAACAATCTGCAATTGTAAACAACTTAAAATGGTACAACAATTTAAATATTTAGGAGTCATAATGGATCAAGAGCTGAAATGGTCTGGCATATAAAATGTATCAAAAATAAAATCCGGCGATTAACTTCCGTATTTTATAAAATTTGCTTTATTAAGAAATCAGTTGTACGGCAAATTTATATGGCATTATTATTACTCTTGTTATATGGTAGAACATGCTGGGGAGGTGCCAGCAGAACAGACATAAAATCGGTATATATTGCCCAGAAAATTATTATAAAAGTAGCCTACTCGTTACCGCCGACATACCCTTCAATATAGATATTTTTAAAAATACTAACATACTATAAATCTAT